TGGTTAAGTCTTGAATGCAGAAATATGGTTGGTTGGATAGCTAAATAAACTTCCAACTTGTTCAATAATGGACTTACAAAAAGGCAAAGTTTTCATTGAGATATAGCGCACTGGAATTACCAACATTAGACACTTGTTGGAGTATTTAGAATCCTGAGATAACAGAGAATTCAGATATCCTTTAGAATCTTTTGTTGTCCTTTATTCTCAGAGATTTGTGGATGTGGGGAATGATACCACCACTAGTAATCGTAACCTTGATGAGAGAATCCAATTTATCTCTGCCAATAGCAAATTGCAAGTGAAGAGGGGTAATACACTGTAAGTCTTTTGATGCCTTCCTGCCAGTTCAAGTACTCTTGCAATGAGGTACACTAAGACGGCTGCAGTGTACACAGCCATAGTTGTGCCCACATGTCTATGGCCAGTCATCCCAGATTTTAGATGTTGGTGAAGACAGCCCATGAAGAACTGCATGCTAGCAGTCTGTGAGCAGAAAATCTTTTTTTTTTTTTTTTTATGGCATTTCTGGAGTCCTTCCCACTCTTAAAACCAGCCATTTCACATTCTGAAGCTCAAACAAGCATAGCAGAGAAAAAGGTAGTCAGACACACATGGTGAGATCCCACCACCTACTCCGTTGTCACACTGCAATGCAAACTGCCACTGCTCACCTTTTCTAACACCAGCAACTCCAAACTTCTGTATGTATGCCATTTTAGGAGCTGGCATCAATTTTGTTAGAAAGGAAAGGGTAGGAAAACATTTTAAAGCTACACTGGTACAAATGTCACTCTTCTATAGTTAGCTTGCATATTTATTTTAGGAGCCTTTTGGAAGACTCACTAAAAGAGCTTAAATAAGTGTCTAAATGCCTTTGGCTTTGGAATCACCATAAAACAGTCTAAGACAACAAGTTTATGTCATGGAGGAGGTATAATCCTGGGGAATCAAGATTAAGAGAAAAATGGAAGGAAATTATGTAAGGAAGGCCCACAAAACAATATTTGTAATCAAGCTGGCTACAGCTTAGGTCAGTCCCTCAGGATATCTCTAAAGTCTCAAATTACAGATTCTTAGAAGAAACTTTGAGTGTTAGTGGAAAAGGAGGAAGGAACGATCTGTCAGCAGCATGCTGTTCCCTGTCTCTCGTTGGTAAAAGTTGATAATGTCCACATACTTCATGTTTGTATACCTGGCTCCTTGAGACAGCTGCTAAAGAAGCCAAGCAGTTTCCAGGACTAAGCAGAGCAGGTACACATGTGTAGTGATCTCTGTCTATCAGATGAAACCCAATCAGAATCTCCTCAATTTGTGGCAGTGGTAGCATTAGCAACAGACAACTACATGACTGACTCTAGCCTTTGCTAGGGTTTTTTGAGTTTGAAAGAATTCAAGCAGCTCCAGTCTTGAGGTGGGGGTAGTAGTAAACATGAAGCCAAATAGATATGTGTTGGTGCATACACTGGATCCAAAATAACCCCAAATCACACCTTGTTTCCATCACTGCCTATCAGAAAATGAGATTCTTAAAGGAAAGAATCACATCTTATTCATCTTTCATTTCATTTTTCCTTTTTTTTTTCTGGTTTAAATATTTTAGATTTTATTGTTATTCTTTTAGAGGTAACTCAAAAGATTTTAACATGTATATATTACAAATTTTAAATTAGGACAATTTTCACAGTCTTTCTATAAGATAAAAGGTTCATAATACTCCCTTCTAACTTTAATGCTTTTGTTATTATATATATGGGTGTTATTTGAGCTCACATTTTCTAAAATTTATTTATTTATTTACATATCAAAGTTAGAGAGAGAGAGGGAGGAAGGGACAGAGAGAAAGAGAGAGAAAGAGAGAGAGAGAGAGAGAGAAATCTTCCATCCACTGGTTTACTCCCCAGTTGGCCACAACAGCCAGGGCTGGGCTAGGCCAAATCCAGGAGCCAGGAGTTTCCTCCAGGTCTCCCACATGGAGGGAAAGGGCCCAAACACTTGGTGGAGCAGCCAGGACATGTATTGGTACCCATATGGGATGCCAGCATCACAAGTGTCAGTTTAACCCACTACATCATAACACTGGCTCTGATGAGCTCACAATTTCTAACCCCACAATACATTATCATTGTCTTCTACAAAGTTGAAGACAGGCAGTTTCACTTGTAGTCTCTTGAAAAGGACACTTCCTTCCTAGTTTATCTTCTTTATTTTTCTTCTGTTTGACAGGCAGAGTGGACAGAGGCAGAGTGGACAGTGAGAGAGAGAGACAGAGAGAAAGGTCTTCCTTTGCCGTTGGTTCACCCTCCAATGGCCACTGCGGCCGGCGCGCTGCGGCCAGTGCACCACGCTGATCCGAAGGCAGGAGCCAGGCGTTTATCTGGTCTCCCATGGGGTGCATGGCCCAAATACTTGGGCCATCCTCCACTGCACTCCCTGGCCACAGCAGAGAGCTGGCCTGGAAGAGGGGCAACAGGGACAGAATCCGGTGCCCCGACCGGGACCAGAACCTGGTGTGCTGGTGCCGCAATGCGGAGGATTAGCCTACTGAGCCGCGGCGCCGGCCCTAGTTTATCTTTTGTATGGAGAGGATAGCACACTGGGATGCTCTACTTGGGTAGGCCTCTGGGTTTGTCTTTTATTCTGGAATTTTCATAAAGCAATGAAAATAAACTTGAAAGTTTTTCAGGGTAAGCAAATGCTGTCAAGTCAAAAGCCAGGTTCAGTAGTCAATTCATCCCCAAGGTTTCCATTATTTTTTAGATTTTGGCATTATTTGAAGACTACTGACATATTTAAAGAACACGCTAACATTTAATTTAAAAGGCAAATACACATACACACATACACACACACACACACACACACACACAAATACAGAAAGAAGCAGAAACAGAAATCTTCCATTTGTTGGTTCAGTTCCCACATTCTCTCAACAGCCAGGGTTGGGTCAGGATGAAGCTAAATCAGAACTCAATCAAGGTCACACATGGGTAATAGAGACCCAAATACTTGAGCCACCATTTGCTGCCTCCAAGGAAGTGCATTATCTGGAAGCTAGAATCAGAAGTGGAAGAAACAGGGGCCGGCGCTGTGGCGCAGGTTAATCCTCCACCTGCGGTCCCGGTATCCCATATGGGTGCTGGTTCTAGTCCCGGCTGCTCCTCTTCTAATCCAGCTTTCTGCTGTGGCCTGGGAAAGCAGTAGAAGATGGCCCAAGTGCTTGGGCCCTTGCACCCACATGGGAGACCAGGAAGAAGTAAGTACCTGGATCCTGGCTTCAGATCAGCACAGCTCCAGCTGCTGTGGCCATTTGGGGAGTGAACCAATGGAAGGAAGACCTTTCTCTCTGTCTCTCCTTCTCACTGCCTGTAACTCTACCTCTCAAATAAATAAATAAGATAACAAAAAAGTGGAACAAAGATACAGACATAAGCACTTTGATATGGAATGTGGCCACCCCAAAAGGCATCTTAACCACTGGGCCAAATGTCTGCTAACATTTTAGAAAAACATGCTAATGTTGATTCTATCCCAGGCTTCAGTACCAAAAAAAAGGTAAGATTGGTGTTATATCCTATACTTACAGTTATTTTCTGCAGAAATTGAAGTTTTCATCATTTCTATATCCTACACCTCCACATCTTCCATCTAATGCATTGACCACAGTGTGTGAACACTAAATGCAGATGAGGTAAGTTGGAAAGTGGCATAAAATAATAATTATTATAAACAATATTTATTTATTTCACTACAACTGAAAATCATGGTAGTACTAAATTATGTATTTAGTCAAAATTCTCAATTGAGGATTTTAAAATATTTCCAGCTTAAATATTACTTTATGCTTTATTATTGTTTTGCTTAGATGTAGATTTTATTGAAATGCAAGTTTCATAGATGAGGGGATTTCAAAAAATTCATAGAAAATTTGCATTACCTGTAATTCTTCTTTTCTACAAACTTTCTGCAGCTCCCTTAAATATATATATATGTATATATGTGGGTGTGTATATATATATATATATATATTTACACACATACACACACACTACATTAATTATACATAATGAAGAGACCTGAGAGTCCTGGTTTACCAGGCAGTTGTTATGGATGATGCATAGTGCCAGTTGCTGCAGACACAAAGATAACTGAGAACCTGTCCTGATGCTGAAGAAACCATCTTGAAGAAAGCCAGATAAATCACCAGTTGAGTCTCACTGGGAAACAGCAGAATAGAGTCAACAGCACTACAGTGAAATTTTCAGATTGCAGCTCTGTCTCCTACTTGAAGGAATTTAGTTAACTTCTCTTAGTCTGTGTTTTATTTCTTTAAAGTGGAGAGAATAAAAACCAACTTACAATGTGGCAGAGTTAAGTGGCATAATGCATATGTATAATGACAGTCAAACTGTATATTCAGAGCCCTAGGATTTCAGAAAGATTTTTATCTGAGGATATATGATATTAGAAGCAGAGGCTACTAAAAAAAAAAGCTTGAAAATTACAGATTTATGTGATGTGATTAACAATGCTTTGGTAAATACAAAGTACTCCAAACTATTATTTTAATTATCACCGCAATGAAGACATACCTACTGTAGGTGAGTTCAGAGAAGGCCTTCCAGGAAATTTGATTCCTAGAGAGTTAGCAGGAAAAGAAGAAGGGGAAAGCAGTAGAACACACAAAGCCTAGAGATGGAAAAGGTCAGGAGAGAGGGCAAAAACCATTCAACAAAGAAAGGAGAGCTTCTAACATTCTCTACTATCAAAGGCTCACCACATGTCCAAAAGTTATTACTGACAGCAAACAGAATTTCATGCATTGGAGTCATAAACGTCAGCAAGAAAGTTGACTAAGTCACACTACCTAACTGGGTCATCCTAATATTACTCTATTTAGAAACAGAAATGTGGGAACAACATTGTGGAGCTTTGGGTTAAGCTGCTGCCAGTTCTAGTCCCAGCAGCCCCACTTCTGATCCAGCTCCCTATGGATGTACCTGGGAACAAAGTGAAAGGTGACCCTAGTACTTGGGCCCCTTGCTCCAAGATGGGAGACCTTGATGGAGTTCTGGGCTCCTGGCTTAGGTGTGGTCCAATCTTGGCCATTGTTGCCATTTGGGGTGTGAACCAGCAAATAGAAGATCTCTTTCTTTCTCTTTCTCTGTCACTCTGCCTTTCAAATAGATAAAATAAATCTGGAAAAAAAAAAAAAGAACCAGAATTGTTGGCTCTTTTTATGTTAAAATAAAGATATTACAAAGGTCAGGTTAACAAAAAAAAAAAAAAAAAAAGGTCAGTGCATCGCTGAACTAAGAAGTGAGAGCAGTTGGACTGTCAAAAGTAGATTAACTTTTAAAAATCATATGAAATATGAGATTTTTAATCATTCAAAGCTGTGAACCTCTTGGCCCAGAATAAAGGCCAGTACTAATCTGAAGAAATTTGGTGTTAAAATGCACTTAGGGCAGCCATCACTTTAAGTTTTGATTATAAAAGCTTTGATTAGCATTGCTTCTGCATTCCAAATTCAAGCACTGTAGCTAACCTAATTTGGAATTTTAGCATCAGCATGAAGACATCTGTACTTCTTAGTAAACCATTATCATTAGTCCTACTTAGATGAAAAGCTACTTTCCTTGGAACACTGCCTGTAGTTCATTGCCCTTGATGTAAGATCAGGAAGATTCTTCCCCACTTCAAACTCCTAGAATTTATCAGTTTGCCTTTGGGTACTTCATCAAATCAACTTCCTACCATAAATATGTAAAATATTTATAGCCTACTAATGAAGATAATTTAAGATTAAAATGTTCTCTATTCAAGATACAACCCTAATTTGACATTTCTATTCCAGCTTTTACAATACCAAAAATTCTAAGCCTAGAATTAATGAGTATAAGCCAAGTAACAACAAATATCTTGTCAAAGAATACTGAGAGGAAGTAAAAACAGTTATGAGCTCCTATTTATAATATATTACTCAATAAAACTTCAGCTTAAAATACAAAAATAACAAGACAATCTTATAGTATAACCAAGTTTGCTGTGATTTCTTACACAAAACACAACAAGCTTCAAGAACAGAGTTATTAGCAAATCTTAAAACATACAGTATATTTCTCCTATATGGTGAGCTACTTTATCTATACCAATGCCAACTACAACTGGATTCACATCTCTCATAAAATTTTTTTTTGAATGTACTTCAACAGGGAATACTCTAAAAGAAGATAAATATTACAAGTCTTCAAACTAGGATATGCATCCCTTGGGGATACATAATGATTTTCTCAGGGATAAGCAGGCATAGGTAGCTTCAAAACAATCAATTTTCAGGTCATCAGCTTCCCAAAAAGAGACATCCAGTGAAGAATCTCCATTCACAAAGCATTTCACTAACTTCACGAATGAAAATCAAGCTCCCACCCATGCAGAATCTTATTAGGGCAAATCATGCCAGGGTGTACAAACCTTGAGAATACTAAACAAATGTAGTTTAGCACACTTGTTAATAAAATGAATGAGTCTGGGGATTCTAAGATGGCGGAATATGGAATGGTGTAATGTGTTAAGCTAGGGATAAATAGTAATAATTAAAAAAAAGTGTAGGAAGTACATTCTTAGGGGAGATTTAGAGAGAAAACCACAGTGGAAATTCTACAGAAGGAATAGGAACACTGAGGACCTTTGTGGAAGGTGAGGTTGCTCAGCACAAACATGCACACAATACATGACTCCAGCAGCCAAGAGCAGGGGAGGGTACCAGCTTGGAGAGAGAGGTAAGACGAGATTGCAGCAACCCATGGTGATATAGCCGGAGGGAGAGCATGGCATGAGTCCGACCTGCAGCCCTAGGGGCTGGAGGGTACCCATGGCCCCAGTGGAAGTCAAAGGGTCACATTTCTCTCACCCCATCCCCCAAATGGAGCCCCATGTCCAACTGACAGAGGATGGGCACCATTTTGGGCATTAGTGACAGCTGTGGAAGCCCTTGTGCACACGCATAGCAATTGGCTGAGACAGGACGCCATCTTCTCAGCAGTACTGTCGGCAGCAGCAGAGAGAGGTCAACATTTGGCCAGTGGCTCTTCTGTATGTGTATGATCCAGAAATTCTAGCAGAGGGGAAAATCCATATTCCCCAGACTTTGAGTATGGCTGCAAGGATTCACAGAGGACTAGGTACCCACATAAGACTATGAAGCACACCCAGCCTCCCAACATACCACAGGCTCCAGAACTTAAGCCGCCTAGGCAGAGCACCCATGAGCAGCTGGCTTGGGGAACTTGTGTCTCTGTGGATTGGACAGGCTGGTGAGGCAGAGCAGAACCTCTGCACTCAGCAACTGTGGGTGACATGTGTGCTGAGACTGTGGGGACTTGGTGGCTACATGAGAGGGTGCAGGGTGCAGCTCGGTCTATGGGCAATCACTAGGTGCAGTGCAATATGCACTATGGTAGGATCTCTGTTCAGAGTAAGGACGGCCAAGATCATTTGTGTCGTGCAGATGAGTGTTTTACCCACTGGAAGTTTCAGCCAAAACCAAAAGAAATCAGCATATGAAAGAGTTATCTGTCCCCAGATTCACTGCAACTCAATTCACAATAGCTAAGATATGGAATCAACCCAGATGTCCATCAACTCAAGACTGAATAGAGAAATTTTGGTATATATACACTATGGAGTACAACCCAACTTTAAAGGAAAAAAAAATGAAATCCTGTAATTTGCAACAAAATGTATACAACTGGAAACAATCATACTTAGTGAAATAAGCCAGTCCCAAAAAATCAGATATCATGTTTTCCCTGCTCTGGGGTAACTGAGTACCTAAAATGCAATATTTTGGAATGAAATGGACATTTTTAGATTTGATGATTGTTTCAGCCCTTATCTCTTCTGATGAGGAACAGTGGATGTTTTTCTTCATATTATTTGTTGAACTCTTTACTTAGTGTAGAGTTAACCTTATGATCATTAAGTAAACTGAAAACAGATCTTAGCAAAACTTAAGAGTGGGACTAGGAGAGGGAGAAGGAAGAAGGGTTGAATTGTGGGCAGGAGGGAGGGTAGGGAGTGAAGTATCACACTATATTCCTAAATCTGTATTCACGTATCAAAATATATGAAATTTGTATAACTTAAATAAATTTTTTTTAAAAAATAATTGCTCTCCCTTGGTGAATACAGTATTTTTTTCTTTGTATTAAAAGAGTTCTTTCTGTCCCTAGTAATAATTAGGACAAAGGCTTTTGTTTGTAATACTTGATATTAAAGCCTAATCTGGGGCTGGCACTGTGGCGCAGCAGGTCAACACCCTGGCCTGAAGTGTAGGCATCCCATATGGGCACCAGTTCTGGTCCTGTCTGCCTCTCTTCCTATACAGCTCTCTACTATGGCCCGGGAAAGCAGTGAAAGACGGCCTAAGTCCTTGAGCCCCTGCACCTATGTGGGAGACCCGGAAGAAGCTCCTAGCTCCTGGCTTTGGATTGGCGCAGCTCCAGCCATTGCAGCCAGTTGGGAAGTGAACCACCAAATAGAAGACCTCTCTGCTTCTGCTCTCTCTCTGTGTAACTCTGACTTTCAAATAAATAAATAAATCTTTTAAAAAAAAGCCTAATCTATTGAGAACTTTTAGTGTATTATAGCTCTTTTAATATTGTTTTCTGTTTTTATCTGTTTAATCTTTGCAACAAAGGTTATGTAGAAATAAGCACTGTATACTATTGAAATCTAGATCTGTGTCATTAATCTTATTTTTTATTTTTTATTTATTTATTTTTTTGACAGGCAGAGTGGATAGTGAGAGAGAGAGAGACAAAGACAAAGAGAAAGGCCTTTCTTTTTGCTGTTAGTTCACCCTCCAGTGGCTGCCACGGCTGGCGCGCTGCAGCCGGCGCACCACGCTGATCTGAAGGCAGGAGTCAGGTACTTCCTCTGGTCTCCCATGGGGTGCAGGGCCCAAGCACTTGGGCCATCCTCCACTGCCTTCCCGGGCCACAGCAGAGAGCTGGCCTGGAAGAGGGGCAACAGGGAAAGAATCCGGTGCCCCGACTGAGACTAGAACCCAGTGTGCCAGCGCCGCAAGGTGGAGGATTAGCCTATTGAGCCACGGCGCCGGCCATCATTAATCTTGATCTAAAATAGTAAACTACATTTTTAGCACAGCAACTGAAGTAGAATTCATATGTTAATATTTCCTGTTTGATATTTCCTGTGGACAATAAATTGATAAATATATAGTAAAATACATTTCTTGAAAAGTTGATCAGTTATCCCCTACTTAAGAGGATGTACAAGTATTTATTGCAGGTGAAGCAACTTATCAGGTTTGAATCTATATGTCAAATATGCCTTCATGTCATCCTGAAGAACACAACCCAATGAAAAGCTGTTTACATGTTTTAAAAGCAATGTTTTACAATCATAATTTCTTCAAGTATAAGACAAACTGTTTTGTTATTTCATAAACCATTTTTGCTTCAAATGTTTCCATTTTGTAAAATAGGTAGTCTCTTCCTAAAATACAGTCTTCTTATGATTACAAACTGTTATTTATGGTTCTGCATGCTGTTTAGTTTAACATCAAAAGTCCAGACCCTGTATGGTTAGACTGAAAGGCTTTATAAAGAATTCTCTAGCAGCTGGAAATTGAGTTCCTACTTCATATTCTATAAGCTGGGACTATACTCATTTGAGCAGGTTTGAGTTCAAGATGTTTGCTGCTGTTTTTCAATGATTCTTTTTTTCAGTGAAAATTAAATCCTGTGGCAGTGTCTGAAGAGTTAGGAGTTTTTTTTATAGCATGTGTGCATTCTGAGTAAGTTGGTTTCAAGATTATTTGTAAATTGTTACCAACCATCAGAAATAAATGTGTTCCCTTTTACAAAAAAAAAAAAAAAAAAAAAAAAAAGAGTCTGACCACCAGGCAAGGCTGCTGTTTGTAGTTTAGATGACTTCAAATGCCTTGCTTTCACCAGCGTTGCAGCTCACTAGGCTAATCCTCCACCTGCGGTGCTGGCACCCGGATTCTAATCCCGGTTGGGGTGCTGGATTCTGTCCCATTTGCTCCTCTTCCAGTCCAGCTCTCTGCTGTGGCCCGGGAAAGCAGTGGAGGATGGCCCAAGGAATTGGGCCCTATGCCCACATGGGAGACAGGAGAAGCACCTGGCTCTTGGCTTTGGATCGGTGCATCGCACCGGCTGCAGCATGCTGCCCATAGTGGCCATTTCGGGGGTGAACTAATGGAAAGAAGACCTTTCTCTCTGTCTCGCTCTCTCACTGTCTAACTCTGCCTGGCAAAAACAAAAACAAACAAAATGCCTTGCTTTCAATGAACTGGAAAATGAGTTAAAATCATAAATATTATTAAAATAATGTTTGATGAAAGGTCCACATATGATATGGAGTTATGTGGGTGATCCTGTGCCTGGCTGGGAGACTACCTGCCTAGCCCATGCAGGAGGGTTAAGAGGGCACGGCTTGCCATGCCCTGGGAAAAACCCTGGTCGAGGGTACAGCACACTGGAACCCCCACACATGACCTGGCTGCTGGCAGGCGGCAGGGACACCAGGCACCCCCCCCCCCTTCCTGTTCAAGGGCCTTCTAATTGTCAACTAGGTAAACAGTTCCCGGATGTGGCCCAGAAATATAAAGATCACCTGGAAGGCTACATAGGCTATGTGACCTTCAAGCTGATTGGAGAAGCATAGAGGCACCAGTATTGGTTTTATCCTATAGAATTAGCGTTGTTACCCTGAACTAGCTATTCTTCCTTGCTGGCCCTTTAAAAGCGTGTGCCTGATTGTTAATAAATGGACATGTTCCAAATTGTACATCTCCTCCCTCTCTTATTCCCACTCTTATATTTAACAGGGATCCCTTTTCAGTTAAAATTTAAACACCTAAGAATAATTGTGTGTTAACTACAGAGTTCAACTAATAGTACTAGAACAAAAAAAAATACTAAAATGGATAAAGTATTACATTGTACATCAACAAAGAGATGTACAATTTGGGACATGCTCAATCAGACTTGCCCCAAATGGTAGTTAGAAACGTGCCAGGGGATTCCAATACAATCCCATCAAGGCGGCATGTACCAATGCCATCTCACTAGTCCAAGTGATCAATTTCAGTTCACAATTGATCACACTGATAGGTCTAAGAGTCAAAGGAATCACATAAACAAGACTAGTGTCTGCTAATACTAACTGATAGAATAAAAAAGGGAGAGATCCATCCATCATGGGAAGTGGGATACACAGCAGACTCAGAATGATAGATATCCTAAATAGCACTCTGGCCTCAGAATCAGCCCTTAAGGCATTGGGATATGGCTAAAGAGCCCATGAGAGTATTTTAGGCATGGAAAGCCAAGACACTGGGAAAAAAAAAAAAAAAAAAAAAAAAACTAAATGAAAGATCTCTACAAGTGAGATCCCAGTGGAAAGAACGGGGCCATCAAAGAAGGAGGTACCTTTCTCTGAAGGGAGGAGATAACTTCCACTTTGACTATGACCCTGTAGGAATAAGATCAAAGTCAGCGCACTCAGAAGGCTTCCATAGCCTTGGCAACTCATGACTAGAGCCTAGGGAGATTGCTGACGCCATAAACAAGAGTGTCAAATTGTTAAGTCAACAACAGGAGTCACTGTGTACTTACTTCTCATGTGGGATCTGTCCTTAATGTGTTGTCCAATGTGAAGTAATGCTATAACTAGTACTGAAACAGTATTTTACACTTTGTGTTTCTGTGTGCGTGCAAACTGATGAAATCTTTACTTAATATATACTAAATCGATCTTCTGTATATAAAGATAATTGAAAATGAATCTTGATGTGAATGGAATGGGAGAGGGAGTGGGAGATGGGAGGGGTGTGAGTGGGAGGGAAATTATGAGAGGGGGACCATTGTAATCGATAAACTGTACTTTGGAAATTTATATTTACTAAATAAAAAATTAATAAATGAAAAAAATAAATAAATGGACATGTTCACCACAACTGTCTCTGGTGCTTCTTGTCAAAGAACATTGTCACCCCACTATCCCGACAGTGTGGGCCTCACAGGATGAGCCCACAACTGGCGCCAGAACAGGGACCTGAATGCATAAGGTAGGGAAGAGTGGAGCCCTCCCTCCTAGATGTGAGGATATCTCCATCCCACTTTAGGAGCCCCCACCGAGGTCATGGGCTCCTGCTATGTTTATTGGCTTGGACCTCTCTCTGCAAAGTGAGAGGATATCTCCGTCCTGTTCTAGGGGCCCCGGCTGTGTTTATTGGCTCCAAGCCCAGAGTTATAATTCAGAAAGAGATTAAATAAACAATGAAATCACTACAATACAATTCTCTCCATTTACATCCTCTTATTTGTGTGAACAACAGAATTTGCAACTTCAAAATTATCAAACAATCAGAATTGACATCTCATCTGCCAGTAAGTGATATTCATCCAGAGAAACTCGAATTAGTTTTTAAATGGGGAGAGGGGACTGGCATTTGGCATAGAAGTTAAGATGCCGCTTTGTACACCTGCATCCCATGTCAGAATGGCTGGTTTAGAGTTGCTCCCCAACTTCCAATCCAGCTTCCTGTTGTACAACCTGGAAGGCAGTTGATAGTCCCCATACTTGGGGCCCTGCAACCCATGTGGGAGACCAGACAGAGTTCCTGGCTCCTGGCTTCAGCCTGGCCCAGCTTCAAACATTGGGATGGATGGTCTCTCTCTCTCTCTCACTCTTTCATTAAATAAACGAGTAATCTTTAAAAAATGTTTTGCTGCAGAGAAATGTGACAGAGACATAAGTACAAGATTCTCGCCTATAAAAGTAAGTAATAAAATTTAAAAATCTTCTGTCATCAGCTTATCAGCCTCTATATTATCTCACAGATTTGTGCTAAAAAATGCAGTTTTTTCCCCCCAATTACCTAAGCACCTTGAACAAGATGCTACTTATACACACTGATTTCCTCATTCTTCTTCAGTGGGTCCTGGTTTTCAGGTTTTCTACATTTGCAAAGTCAATCTTACAATTCCCCCATAATACTTTGCAAAGTAATTTGTAACACATGGATATTTAAAAGTTGCCGATTACTGAGAAACACACACTACCTGGATAAGCACACTGCAGCAGGGCTACTGATTTCCCTCCAGGAGCAGCACACAGATCCAGAACCTTTTCCCCATCCTGTACTTCCAGAGCCAGTACTGGGAGAAGAGAAGCAGCGTTTAAAAGATAGTATCTTTTCAGGTTTCCGATTTGGTATCTTTCTGAAGTCATTCGGTCTGGAGTTTTGCTAAGGTAACACTTCATTGATTTAGGATAGTAGGGTAAAGATCCTTGAAAGAGCTTGTGGTAGCCCTTCAAATGTAAATCCTTTTCCAGTTCAAAAGGGTAATTGAATCTGTTGAGCAGGACAGCATATTGCCAGCATGAGGGAGATGTGAGGATATCCCTATAAAAGCAAAAAGAGAGAAAAAGGAATATTAATACACATATACATAAATATAGTTTTATGTTACTCATTGGGTGAATGTGGTCCTCGTTTTATACATCACTTACCTATGATTTTGAGACATGTAATCAATATTCTTGACTTTGTCTTCTGTCTGATGTAACTCAACCCAGCACTGTTATGATCCTGTCTTTATTTTAAAAGTTTTCTATTTTATTCACTGTGGGTTTTAAAATTTTAATTTTGGAGTCGGTGCTGTAGTGTAGCAGGTAAAGCTGCCACCTGCAGTGCTGACAACCCATAAGAGCACCAGCTGCTCCACTTCCAAACCAGTTCTCTGTTAATTTGCTTAGGAAAACAGCAGAAGATGGCCCAAGTGTTTGGGCCCCTGAACCCACGTGGGAAAACCAGAAGATCCTGCCTCCTGGCTTCAGATCAGCCCAGATCAGGCCTGCCATTGGGGCCATCTGGGCAGTGAACCCACAGATGGAAGATCTCGTTCTCTCTCCCAGTCTCTCCATAACTCTGCCTTTCAAATATATAAATAAATCTTTATAAAAATTTAATTTTGATCACTAAGTTTTCTTAGTACCCTTTAAGTCCTGCATGGAAGGGGATGGCTCACCTGCATCAGTCTCATCTCTCCTGGCAGAATATCTTACCAAAAAAACCATGGCCTGCCTTTATGTAACTCTAAATCTGTCAAAATGGATTCTTATCTACCACTCTTTCCACAATGAAATATTTAGATTAGAGACAAAATTTAAAACCAGCAACTATTAATGTTGGAGGGAAAAGTATTATCCAAAAAGAGTGTTTGAAAGAATTAAAGTTTTCCTTTGACTAGGATACGGAATGCTACCTACAGTTAACTCTACAGTAATGGAGTTAATGAAGCAATGAGTGGCTCAGATAATGCAAATTCAAGGATGATTTAAAATCACAGACTGATGATGCAGACTTTGCCCCCTGCAGCTTTACTTTCCTAAATTTGTATTCAGTCCAACAGTTAGATCTCTTGACAATCACAAGCTCACATCAACTGACAGATGATACAGCAGGAAATATTTAATTTATTTACTAGCTGACCTTTCTAGCTGAGTTATTTGGGTGCCTCATTAACCATGGTCAATTAAATAAATTCCAGCTGCTACTCACCCTGGAGGTGCCTATGTGAGGAATGGCTAGATTGAAATGTAACACCTGTGACTGGAAGTATGCCATGTGAATTTCAATTTAGGGTGAACATGTGGAACTGCTTTCTCCTTTCACTGCCTCTTATGACGGATGGTGTGTCAGAGGCACCTGGTTCTCCTGTTTCGGCTATTTTGGAGGATAATGATAAAGAGGCTCACAAACTTTAGTGTGCATAAGTGTCTGTAAAAAACACCACTGGGCACTGCCCAGAGTTTCTGGTGAGTCTGAGGTAGTGCCTGCAGTTTGCATTTCTTTTTATTATTATTATTATTATTATTATTTATTTGAAAGAGTTTTACACACACACACACAGACAGAAAGAGGGACAGAGGGAGAAGTCTTCCATCCGCTGGTTCACTCCCCTGTTGGCCACAACGGCTGGAGCTGCACTGATCCAAAACCAGGAGCTTCTTCCAGGTCTCCCACACGGGTGCAGGGGCCTGCAACCTTGGGCCATCCTCTACTGCTCTCCCAAGCCACATTAGAGAGCTGGATTGGAAGTGGAGCAGCTGGATCTCGAACCAGCGCTCATATGGGATGCTGGCACTGCAGGTGGTGGCTTTATTTGCTATGCCACAGTACAGGCCCCCAGTTTGCATTTTTAAGAAGTGTCTGGTGACACCAATACTGCTTATCTCCAGAACCACACTTTAGGAACTGTTGCTTCAAAACAGACTCAAAAGGAAGATCTGTGAATGCTAGTGTCATAAATCTTATGGCAGAATATCCTAACCTTACTCTCCAAGCCAAGTGAAATGCACTCAGCACTGTGAGTCATGTATAACAGAGCAATGGTCAGAAACATAATCTGATCTACACAGACTGTAGTGGATTGGTTTATATCCTGTGCCTACCCCTTAGCTGTGAAAGAACAGAACATTTTGTTAGGAATGGCCAGACCACTGGGGCACAAACTGTTAATTCTAGGGGCTAGCACTGTGGTGCAGTAGGTTAATCCTCTGCCTGCGGTGCCGGCATCCCATATGGGCACCGGTTTGAGTCCTGGCTGCTCCACTTTCGATCCAGCTCTCTGCTATGTCCTGGGAAAGCAGTAGAGGATGGCCCAAGCACTTGGGCCCCTGCACCCACATGGGAGACCTGGAGGAAGCTCCTGGCTCCTGGCTTCAGATCCACTCAGCTCCAGCCATTGCAGCTATCTGGGAGTGAACCAACGGATGGAAGACCTCTCTGTCTCTCCCACTGTCCATAATTCTACCTCTCCAATAAATAAATAAAATTTTTAAAAACAACAACAAAAAAAAACAATTCTAAAAGCCCTGGTAATATGGGGCACAAATACTGAATCACAAACCTGACAATTTATTGCCTGATATGCTCCAACTGCTGCGAGTGTCTCTCTCTCTGGACATAGCATATTGACCAGTTTATACATGGTAAATTAGGGGTCATCTGCCCATTCAAACCCACCTTACCAGAGTAGATGTGGGTCTCTGCAAGTCCACATGCTCCTCTCCCAACAAACAGAATAAATAGGCTGCTGCCCACAGCTCAGGGGACTGAATCTCTTCTCAGATCCCTGCTTGCTGGCCAAGAATACTTCTTACTGCCCCCACCCTTTTCTCTGCTATCCTGTTTTGAATAAAACTCTCCTGCTTCAACCAGTTGCATCTTTGCCTCATCAGAGCATAAAGTGGAGAACCTAAAACACTTTGCATCAGTTATTCTTGGATATTTACTCTAAAGATGAATTTTAGAGTCAACTGGTGAGTTAAAGATAATTTATTAAATATTTGTGTACAGAGGTATAACAGCCCCACCTAGGACTACAGAAGTATTAAATGCATTAAAATTGCAGAAAATTAACATCTGTAACTGAATACAAGTCTTTCCATTCCTGACCACAATGTTTCTCCATGTATTTCTATTTTTTTCAGACTTCTTAACAAAGGTTATGATTAATTCTGTGTATTTCCTTTCAAGCAATTCTTTGAGGTTTTTTTCAATTAGAACACTGCATACATTTGCATATTATGCAATATGTTAAATATTAAAGAATGAGTAGCAGGAAATAAGGAAGTTCCAGGACAAAGGCAATAGCACATGTACAGACAACACAAATATAAGGACAAACAGAGTTATGTGAGGAATTAGTTGTCAGGTGTGGCTGATGGCAGAAGATTCTACGGACTAAGTATAGTATGGTAAAGATTTTGAATTTTAAAAGTGATAGGAAGTCACTGAAAGACTTTAGGATGGGATAGCTCAATTGAATTTTAAAATATGTACTAGGGCGGGGCTGGCGCCGTGGCTCACTTGGTTAATCCTCTGCCTATGGCACTGGCATCCCATTTGGGCGCCAGGTTCTAGTCCCGGTTATTCCTCTTCCAGTCCAGCTCTCTGCTGTGGCCTGGGAGGGCAGTGGAAGATGGCCCAAGTGCTTGGGCCCCTGCACCGGCATGGGAGACCGGGACGAAGCACCTGGCTCCTGGCTTCGGATCAGCACAGCGCTGGCCATAGAAGTCATTTGGGGAGTGAACCAACAGAAGGAAGACCTTTCTCTCTGTCTCTGTCTCTAACTCTACCTGTCAAATAAAAAAAATGTACTATGGCAATGACACAGAAATATGCACAAATTACTCAACTCATTTTTTAACAACTAGACAAAGGAAGACCTTTGTGGGAATGGGAGCAGTAGGAAGCTAATGGACGTCAATTGGTACATGGAATATTTTCAGGAATTTGTAAATTTGCAGGAACACCTAAATGGGCCTGTCTCTGAAGATTTACAACATAGCTCTAATCCCTGTTAGACCAGCAGACTCCCAAATCCTTAAGTTGATGTATAACCTGCCTATGTGCCTGCTGGCTTGTAGACTTGCTCGTACCCTCTAAACAAAAGTGGGAGTGCAGAGCTATTCAGTGGCATGCTCTTGGAATGGATGTGCCCATGTCCTGTCTCCCCATTTGAAAAACCCTACAGACCTTGATTAGAATAAGCAAAATTTCTGATCCCTCCTAACTGCACCTAGCCCTCTGAGCTCTTTGAATGTCCTGGAACAAGTTTCTTGAGCCTTTACCACTCTTGGCATTAACTACTCCCTCTGGTTAGGTTGACCTTTCTTTTCTTGCCCAATGGTTCACTCTTCAAGGGGCTTTCATCTCCCCAAGGAAGCTTACCATCTACCACCTAATCCACCTGCTCCACTTTCTTCTGATATTATTAATACAACCTATTGGTTGCTGTTTACAATGTTCATTTTGCATGCTTACTTCTCATAACCATCACACCACCTGGAAAGGCAACCAATACCTCCTATTTTAGAGGTAAGGTAACTGAGGTTTTCACTGATTTGTCAACTTACCCAAGGCCATGTCACTAGTAACCGAAGTAATGATTCAAAATCAGGCTGATTTTCAAATGTAATAGGAGTGACTCTCAAAGACTGAGACCCTGGCTCTGCAGCACCAGTGGCAAACACAGGGAGAAACAGAAAACTTCTACCCCAACCCTCACTTAGGGCCAGTGGCCCTGAGCTCCCTGTAGCAGGATCACTGAATTTAACAATGAGAATATCTTGCGATATGCTACCCATTAGGCCAACTGTGACAGAGTCAATTCAAAGAAAGGACTGCTAGGGCCAGCTCTGTATTACAGGGGGTAAAGCCAGTTCGAGTCCCCACTGCTCCACTTCCGATCCAGCTCCTTGCTACTGTGCCTGGGAAAACAACGGAAGATGGTCCAAGTACTTGGGCCCCTGCATCCACATGGAATACCCAGAAGAAGTTCCTAACTCCTGGCTTTGGCCTGGCCCAGCTCTAGCCATTGTGGCCATTTAGGGAAT